GATAAGATGGCATTTGGGCTTTGCAGGCCTTGATTGGGTCGCTAGCTTAGTAATTGGGCTTCCGGCAGTTTTCTTTTTATTTTGGTTATGATATCAAACTTCTACGAAAGTTTGAATTTGAACATCCAATCCATTTGAGATTATTTGACACTGCAGAATTTTGTTTTCTTTTTATAATCAATAGGATTTACATTTATTTAAAAGAAAAATGATTTATAGATAATTTTTTATATTATTTTTTTGTATAATTTTATGTATTATTTAAATAATTAATTTTTTTTATTTTTTTAAAATAAATAATATTAAATGTATCAACTCATTTACTAATAGATGAAAGTTATATGAAAAGATAATATAAAAAAATTTTAATTACATTTATATATTATGTTAAATTTTTATTTGAAATGTATATCTAAAAAATCAAAAGATCAAATTAAAACTATTAAAAATAAACAAAGGAATATTATCTTAACTTTATCCCTATTACTCTAGTCTATTTATAAAGATAGTAAAATTTTTATTAGAAATAAATGTGTTAGTTTAACACAACTAATTATAGGGTTTTAATTGATTAATCCCTAAATCATGCAAGTATCTGTAAAGTTAAAAAGTTAAAACAACTAAATAGAGCAAAGGAGTACTAAATTTGTAGATATTAAGTTTTGTTTTTAATTTTTTAACATTGATTTTTTTTATATATTAAATACAAGTTGGTTTATGTCATATCTTATGTAAGTTCGTTCATCCTAATTGTCACAATCCTTCCTCGTTTGTTATGGATCATGTCTTTAATTGACACAAATTTCATGTCTTTTTTATGTTATGAACCCAAAAATCACATTTTGCTTGAACCCCTAAACGTAATTATGGAACATGCATTCTAGTTGGCCTTCTTTTCCCTTCTTCTGTCTATAACTTCAAGAATAATCTATGGAATTCAACAACTTGAGTTTTTGGTTAAGTTAGTACTGTAGTACTTGCTGGGGACTGGTAGTTAATTAGAGTGATTAATTGACATTAATTAAACCCCAGCAGCTAATTAAACTTGTGGAATTTGATATAATTTGTCTTCTAAATGTTTAGTTCTACTAATTAAATGCATATTATTCTGCCTCAAAATTAATTGAAAGACATGGATGAGATGGATCCCAATCCCCCTGATATGAATAAGGAATCTCCCACCTGTCCCTTCAAAATTGCAGCCAGAGCACAATTGGCACAAAGTCTTTGACTCGCTTGAACAAAAGATTAAAGACTTAGTTGATCTTTCTAAAAGAAAACAAATTAAGTGGACTGCATGTCTTGGAATTCCTCGAAACACAATGCATGAAATTAATTAACTAAGGATCACTTTCTCTTTGCAGCCGAAAGAAGAAAAGCTAATTAGGTAGGTAATTAACCTTGAAAGAAGAAAAAGAACATTCCACGAAACAAGAGAGGAGGAGCCGTTGAAACCCAAAACAAGAAGACCCACCAAAGGAAAAGACAGAAAACATGGTGGGTGAAGTCATCAAGCAAAGAATTGCACCATAAACTTTTGATTATATTTGTATAATGGATTCATTAATTGATTTGGATGGTACTGTATTGTAGTATCTACCATCCATTATTTTGATGGTCAAAATCAATGGTCTAATAGTTGACTAATCCTTGATTAATTAACTAAAGAAACTTTTATGATTGGGATTATGTCTTGGAATTGCTCAATTATTGCTTGAAAGCTAGTAATCAAATCAAACCAAACCCCTTGATTTGGCCACTATAAAAGTAATGAAATAAATCAAATGAAATCATTTCATCTTTTATGAATAAATAAACGATGTACAACCTTAGCAGTTAGCACCTCTATTTGACCAAAAAAAAAACAAAAACCACTTAACACCTCTGTTATGTTGCATCTCTAATTTTATTCTCTGTTGAGCAGGGTTTCTAGAAGGAATAATAATATGCAGATACGTTTTTATATAATTTTTTTAATATAATTTTTATATATTAATAAATTAATGAAATAAATTAATTATTAAATAACTTATAAAATTATATAAAAATAATATATAAAAATATTATCTCTCAATTAATTTCTTTCTATGACAAAAACAATTCTCTAATTAGATAGTTTGCATTTAAGTAGACCTGAGTAATACAATCCAAAAGGTGGTATTATAAAGGCAATCTTTTTGCTTCATATTTTTATATAATTTTTATATATCGTTAAATAAATTAATATATTCAATATCACGAATGTTACATAAATTAAAAAAAATTAATCATTTTAATAACATACTAAATTATAAAAAAATAAAAAAATAAAATAATTATCCTTATAACATTTCTCCCACCCAAAATACCGTACAAGGATAAAGCCTTTTTATTTTTTGTTTAAACGAACTTGAGGTAGGTATATCTTGCTAATATGTATGTTGTGGTGGTGGCGGCCGATCTCATCAGAAACACAAACCTGCAGGCATTTCTAGCTAGTGCTCATTTGTATGCCTACCAGCCTACGTACCAGGCATACCTTATCTCATTTTTTTGCGTGCTATACCTTCTTTTCTACATCCGTTCTTATTGGCACTTTAATAAGTAACAACAAATCGTACAACCAGTAAGCATGGATATTCCATAATTAGAACTTGAATTAATTTTATACATAGAGATATTCACTTATTTATAAATTTTATATATCATATTTATATAAAATTTTAATTATTTATTTTATTATTTTTAATAATTAAAATTTATTACAATTTTTAAAGTAAAAGAATAACTATTTTTATACATATAATAAGAATCTATTTACATATAAATCTTATACAACATATTTGTACAAAAT